AGAGTTACATCATAGCAGGTGCCTCGGTCAGAGGCTACTGAAGAACCAAGGACACATTTCTGACTAAATATTTAAAAACTTACATTTTATAAACATAAATAAGGTTAACCGTCATTTTGCTATAAAAACTAAAAACTAACATATGCAGATATCTGCTTTTGCAGGCAGAGGTGATTAACAGTCGCTTTGGGTAAGGGATTTATAATCCAGCTAAGACAACAGCTCCCTAGCAGATGCAGTATCCCTTGATACTATGGACATGAGCGCTGTGGGAGGTGGGAGGTGGGAGGTGGGAGGAGAGACCTTTGACCAGGGGAGAAAACAACAGTAGAGGGAAAAAAATTCAAAGAGGTGAAAACTTCTTTGGCTGATTTATCTTCACGCGGAGAAGGGAAATGGAAGAAATGGAGGGAAGGTAAGAATGGTGGAGGAGCTTCCAGAAAGAACAAGAATGCCCGGTCTGCATGCTGAGCTCCTGAAATGGTAAAAGACTGGTTGTTCATCAGATTCAGAGGTCAAAATGAGAACGCTTCCTTGGTCAACCTCGGATTTGCGACCTCCTGTGTCTGATCATGTCATAATACAGTGGCTTTCAAAGGGGTCAAGTTCTCCGAGATAAACACCCTCCGCCACTCGAAAATCTGCTACAGCATATTCTCAAAGAAGGCTTTGCAAAAGGTGAATGAGTACTTGGCATTTTCCACACTGGTTTCCAATCTTTGCAACCCTAGGCCCAAATACAAATTAGAATGGGTAACATCCGTTTCCTTATTCAAAATCATTGAAAGCAAATTTACATTGATGACTGGCATGGCTTATAGACAGACCCTTATCCTGAGAGGACCCTTGCATACCATACTACCAGAGACCACTCCAAGTACTGGGAGGGGAACGGGACAGTGGGGTCTTGCTCCTCCACCAAACAAGGACTCTGAAGAGTGGCAGTTGGGGATTCTCCATCCCCATCCTCCAAGCATGGACGCTCTGGCTGTGGAGTTGTGCACATTGGCCAGTAGGCCCTTCTCCACTGAGCCAGGACTACACAGCGCCTCGCTTGTGAACACCAGGCACCGTTTTCACACTCTGCCAGGTGTTTTACTCAAGCTCACAGGGGCTCCATCAGTATGCAACTCCACCCACCTGCATCTCACACATGAGAAACAGGCACTCAAGGTAAGGGTTCCATCTACTGGATAGAACCAATGGCAAGGAGACCAGAATTCCACAAAGTGCCTGTCCTAGAGAGGGCACAGGTAGTTCTTCAGATCTGTCAGTCTTGATGTAAAAATGCACATTCTGGCCCTGATACATCAGCTCTCAAACTTTTCTACCAAAGAACATCTAGGATCTCCTTGTGGGACCATAAGGTGTGCATGTGTGACTTTAAAATGCACGTAAATTACATATAAAATTCTATGACGGTATTCTTTTATACTTGTATAATGCTTCAGTGCATACACATAACACATATTTGAGTATGTAAGTTCCCCCCAAAGTCAAATGCCCATTCCAGAAAGTTATAGTGTGTTGATCCTGTGGCTTTGCAAATCCACAGGGGTCTCACCCAGCTTTAGACCAAAAAGTCCAGTCACACTCACTGCTATCCAGTCAATGCTGACTCATAGCAAGCCCTGTGGGTTTCCAAGACGGTGACTGTTTAAGGGAGTGTAAGCCCAGTCTTCCCTGCATTGCTGCTCATGGCTTCCACCTGCAGACCCTAAGGACCACAGCCCAACGAGTAACCACTACACCAATCTGGTTTACGAGTAAAAGCTGTTATGAAAACCCAAGAAACATATAAATGAGGGTTTTTGTTGTTTTTTTTTTATGTCGATCTTTTAATATTGACTTAATTACCAAATCTTCACAAACTATCTTCCAAGGACCCCTGAGAAGAAAGGATAGTTTAATGAGAGCCCTAATATGACAACCACAAGTGTGCACACCACACTCACTACAGCACGCTGATCTGGGACTCCCTCCCTGGTCCTGCTTTCCCCTCTCTCCATCAATTCACCTTTACTAGGCCTGTCTGCTCTAAGTCACAGCAACGGACCACAGGTAAAGCAAAACAAATGTGCTGGTCCAAGTTGTTATCATGACACCTTTCAAAGAAATGCTGGGAAATTCATTTTAGTGGCTAGCCTTTACCTGCTCACTTGAGCTCCCAGAGACAGATTCTTCAACCACCTCATTGATCAGCTTGTCATACTGTGACGGATGTTGAAAGCTATGCCATTTGATATTCCATACACCAGCAGGGTTGCCCCAGGTGGACAGGTGTTCAGTGGAACTTCCAGACTGAAACAAACTAGGAACACAGACCTGGTGACCTACTTCCACAAACTAGCCGATGGAAGCCTTATGCATACAATAGAATGCTGTCCAACTCCCTTGGGTTCACTCACTGGACGCAGACATCAAATTTGGTCAAGTGCAGAACAAACAAGGGCAGTGAGATGAGTGGACATAACAGCCAGGACAGTACCCTCAAGCACGCCAGCAACTCTGAGGATGACTTGGGACAAGCAACATTTTGTTCTCTGCATATAAGGGCTCAAAGGCAGCTGAACAAGACCATCCTGCACACACATAGTAGGCCAGCAGAATGTGAAAGATATCCCACCCTTGGCACTTCCTTGCCTGTGTGCCTTTGCTGACTCCCTGAGTGCAGCTTGGAGCACCTTCACTCTCATTCATCTCTCCTGAGGAGCTAAAGGGAGTCACTCTCTTCCATGCCCCCCTCCCTGTAACCCTAAACTGTCTCTCTCCCAGGTCTCGTGAGTCTGTTGGTTCACCAGACATACAGTAAAGGGTGCTCTGCGCCTATCTACTTCCACCTGTTCTTGAGTGACTAAGAGTTCACGATTAACACACCACTTTCTAGACTCTCACTGATAAGACCAGAACCCAGTTAATTTCAAGTTCGCTCTGACAACTTTAATTTCAGAAAAGCACGTTTCCCTATGAAAACGTTTAGCCCACACACCGAGTTTAGCCTTAACTCAGACAGTCCTTGATCATCTGATTTCTCTGGTTCCAGGACCCTACCACTTTCCCTCCAGAATGCAGTGTGGCGAGTAACTGAGAACCCCGATGGCCCACAGTTAGGGCACAAGCTCTCCAGCCAGGATGAAAGGCACTCACCTGTCTTGTCAGTTTCCTGGGTAATGTCTTAGCCTTAAAAAACCAGCTCAGGTAATGCATTTTCTCCCCTAAATCACTACCTAGTTGCCCAACCTGTGAACCATCCTCACAACCAGAACACAATATGGCCCTTCTGTGGCGTTCCCACGTCTCTGCAGTTAATACACGTTTATCTATCTCCCCTCAATTCCAGTTTTACTACCTGAAACCTAATACAGTGAGTGGTACTGGGTGTTCAACCAACAGCTGTTGAGTATTTATTTGATGCAGAAAGGAAGCATCACTGGCCTAAACCGTGACTATTTTTCATTCTAGTACATTATCTACAATATAAGGTGCATGCTTTAACATGAGGAAAAAGAAATCTAGAATAAAATGTGTGCATTTTAATATTTATCATCTAATGAATTATACTTTCAACCCAGTCATATTACCCATTCCTTCAACAAATACATGGACTCCAATTAACTGCCTGATCCAATACAATTAGCCTAGGGCAGATGCTGAGAGCGCACGTGGTGCTTCTTTTGTGCAAATTGGAACCACGTGGCCCCTCTGAACGGATGACTTATAAAACCAAGGCCTAGGGCTCCAAGTGCCTCCCTGGACTTGCACCCTTGGGTGTTGTGGCCCTGTGTATAAAGCAAATGAGACACAAGCCCCAACCTTGAAGGTGCTCCAATTCCAGGGAAGGAGAAACACAAGCACAGGTCCCATCTTCAACATTTTCTATGTGCCTCTAAAAATCACAGATCAGACTAGGACCACTGCACTTCATGCTCTCCATCCAAATTCTCACCTCATTAAGCTCACACACTGTAAACATCAATCTGAACTGGGCCTAGCAGAACCTCTGCCAGCAGAGACTTTGAGTCCCGTTTTTCAGGCAGGAAACGAGGACTATTTTCAGGTTCAAACAGGCTACAAAAGTGATCATGTTTTCAGATGCCGCTTGATAGTAACTGGCCAAATGGAGAGCTTCAAAGGAGAGTTTCCGTTAATCTCTGGGGTTTTCCAGTCACTCCTGGCCTTGTATTTGCTTGGGCATGTTTTTCTCCCTATTACAGTTAATATTTCATAAAATCCTTTACTAAATTTGCAATTGTTTGCTGAAACAGTTCATGGCTGAACACTGCTACATTCTGCTGCTAGCATTAAATATAAAAGATAATTGGTATTCCAAGTTGATACAACCCATTTGAACAATATAAACCTTTTCAAGCCAAAAGCTATTCTTCTAGTCTGAAAATGTCTCTGCAGTTAGGTGGCACACATTCGTTCTCAGTCTGTATGAAATGGGTCAGAGGCATATCGTTTTTGACCCACTGTTTCCCTCTTGGAAAATAGGTCACTCTGCCTCCAAGTTCTGAGTAAATGTCAACTACAAGTCTGTTCCCTTCATCGCTGGCTAATCTAACATACACAGCAGTACTAAAAAAGTATGGGTACGGGTGGGAAAAATAAACACACAATTAATGGTGATCCAGCTAACAACAACAAAAAAATAGGTGTCCATCATGTTCACTTCAGGGTCCTTGCTCCATGTAAGGTTCATGTTATAAGATCAGTGACTTTGGGTTTTAATAGCCACATCTAATTATTGGGAAGGTACAGTAATTTGTCATATTCAATTAATTCCCTCAGTAGTTATCGACGAAGTCTCTCCTAACAGGCAGGAATTGTGCCGGGCAAACAGCCGTAAAGAGAGAAATGGGACCAGCGCTATCAGGATTACCATCCAACAAATCCTGCCACGCCCACCACCAAAAAGAGTCCTTACAAAGGCCCAGGTGCAGCCTTCCATCTATGGAATGACTGTGTTGTCCTTTGAGGAAGGAAACGGAGAACCTTACCTCTTAGATTTCGCGGGTGAATCTGTTTCGTTCGTGGCATCTTCGATTCAGCGGTAACTTTTTCTTCTTACAAACTGTCGGAAGAGCAGACCACAGAAAGGCAGCTCCATACACTCCATAGACATCAATCAATCCATGTGCTGTAGGGGGGGGAGAGAGAAAAATTCTATTTTAATGCCTTCAGAGGAAAAAACCTTTCAAAGGTCATGTCTTAGAGTATAACCCTAAATCCCAGCAGAGATCATGGGGGAAAGGGGCACTGCTATAATAAATGACTAGCTTTCGATAGGACCAGTTATCTTGCCAATAACCAGGCCTTTTCATTAACAGGAGAAAAACTCCCTTATTTTTATCAGAGAAAAGTAGAAAACTTCACTGAACTGGGTTTCACGATACTATGAAGTGCAATTAAATTATAAACTAGGTTATAAATATACTAAGCTCTTGGAGGGCAAGGGGTACTTGTATATACATCTTGTTTTATACACTGTTGCTCTCAATGCTGCTTCCCAAATACTGCAGTTTGCCCTTCTCAGCTCATGGTACAAACGCACTCTGCCTCTCCCAGTTTTTCTGAAATGCATGCGTGACCCCTTCAGGCTAATGATCTGGGAGAGAGGCACTCCTTCCTGCCTGGAGCATTTAATTACAGAAGATAGATGCCGCCTCCTACACACACACACACACACACACACACACACACACACACACCCCAGCTTTCTTGGACTCTGCCCCAGGGCCATCACAGTTCCACAAACAAGAAAACTGTTTTAAGTCACTGATATTTGGGAGCTATTTGTTATTGAGGCTTAACCTTGAATGTCTTGACATAGACACACAAAAAAATTTTTTTTTAAATAAAAGCAATCTCAAGTATAATACACCAGTGCTACAACAACCTAAGGAGTCCATAGGTGGCCCAATTTGTTTGTGCTAGGCTGCTGACCAAAAGGTTGACAGTTCAAACCCACCTAGCAGTGCCTGGGAAGTTCTGGTGTTCAACTCCCACCAAAGAGACCCTATGGAGTTCAGTTCTACCTTGTAACACAGACTCAGCCATAAGTTTGCTTCTTGGTTTTTTGTTGTTGTTGTTGTTGTTGTCTTTTTCTAAACTAAAACATATCTTCTGAAATCAGCCAACTCGATCTCCTCTTAAACCAGATTCTCTAGGATTCTAGCACTAAAACTCTAGTTTTAACTTCCTGCAATAAAGTTGATAAGCAAAGCCTGGTATGATGACTTTTACCAGAAAATGGTGTTCAATTATTAAGCAAAGACTCAAGAATGGGATACCAGGGCTTTGTTTGAAACCTTCGACTACGATACCTGGTATTGCAGAAGAAACAAGAGAACACATATTGAGCTTCCACTGTGAACCTAGGTACTTTCTACGTATTACCTAATTTAACCCTTAACAATAGCTGATAAGGCAGCTATCATTTATTCATTTCACAGATAAGAAAACCGAGGCCTGGAGAGGTTAGGTAACCTGCCTAAGGTCAGTGACTAAGGAATGTGGCTCAATTACCTCCAGTGCTTCCTTCTTCAGTGGAGATGGCTAATCCCACCTTCTCTCAGGCTTTTTTCAAGAGACTGAATAGGTGCAGTTTAGCAAGGCATGACTCCTTTGGGGCATAAAACCAGACTGGGTTCAAAGCCAGGCTTCCCCCTCGACTGTGTGATTATTTCCACATAGCTTAACCTCTCTGATGATCAAGGCAATCATAGCATGCACTTCAGATGGTTATAAGGATTCAACTAAACGATGCACGTTTCACCTACTGTCTGCCACGCAAAAATGATCACATGTGATTCTCCTTCGGAGAGGCTACCTGGGAAAGAACATGTTTAATGTCCTGGTATAAGGATTTGGAAACTTAGAGTGTCATTACAACAGGTAAAGAATAGAGAGAAAATGCTACCATTAACTTCATTATTTTATCACTGCGGTATGTTAGTATGGGCACAGAAACATCTGGCTTCTTTGTTGCAATAAAAACCATTAAATGACATCTCAATAGTCCTTTCCCTTAACACTGCCTGCACTAAAGAGGCATTTACCAGGAAGCTTCTGATTTAATACTGAATTTAGAGATAAGGCCAAATAAATTTCTGAGCGCTTATCTACGTTCTTTATTAATCTCCCAGCTTTAAAATGATCACGACAATTTTAAGTTTTTAAATCGAGAACTCTGATTGTAACCCAACCACGTGATCTCACACGATTCAGAGCATAAATGTAAATCATCAATCGCTAACTACTCCCTGCTACCCCTTTTCAAGCCTGTTTCCACTGTCCCTCACTGTCCATCCCAGGCTTAAATCCTGGTAAGGGAGGAAGTGGGCATCCTCACAGCCAGGAACATTGTAGCGACTAGGGCCAGCGATAAACCGCTCCTTCACAGCAAATAAAGAAATACTACATGGAGCGAAAACATGACACGATCAAAAAGCGTAAAGGCAGTTGCAAGGCGAAAAAACATGAATGAATGTAGAGGGCGGAGCCTGGGAAAACCCCTCTGCAACGCTGCACTGAACAAAGCGCTTCGCCTGCCAGGAGGGGGGAATGGAAGTGCCAGCTCCGGAAGGAGCCCGGAGTGGATGCGGCGAGCCGGAGGAGAGGACGAGGGGACGAGAGCAGGCGAGTGCAGCCGCCCGGAGACACCTCCTCGCCGCCAGCTCCGCCGCCGTGCCCTCCCCTCTGCAGCGGGCAACTCCTGCCGGAGCCCGACCCCAGGCGAGCCCGAGCCCACTCACCCGAACCCACCGCTCCCTCCCAGCTCGGAACGGAACGACCCAGGTGGCCCGGAGTAAACAGGCGCTGCGGGTGCAGAGCGAAAGGGAAAGGCAGCCACAAAGCCGGGAGGTGGGAACGCCGAGGCCTGCTCCCCCGCAGCCCCCCACCCCCGTGCGAAATGCGTCTGCGGCTGGAACGCGGGCGGGGAGGCCGGGCCGCTCGC